TTCTTGCCAGATGGGAATCAGTTTGTTATGCTACAAATGCTATACACCCCAGACCTGAACAACATCGAACATGTGTGGGATCAGCTGGGATATAGTGGCTTCTGGGGCTCGGAGACCAGTGAACAGGGACGTGCTTGTCTGGGCTCTATAAAACGAATGGGACATACTTCCACCTGGTACAAAGCATGTGTCGCAGATGTACAGAGCTTGTATTGATTCCAAAGGTGACCATTCTATTAGCTGTGACTTTCAAGGCTCACCCCCTGTTCATAGTAAATACCAGTGAAATGTAATTTACCGTAATACGTTAAATGAATTTACATGACATATGATCAATGTAAACTTAGTACATCTGCTACAAAAAAGTCATTTTCCTGTTAATAACTTTGTGAATGTTTTTAGTTATATAAAACCTTGCAAACCTCTTCCCTTCTGTTTCTTCAATGTAAATGGATTTTTTGTTGTAGTTTTTGTAGACTTCATTCAGCCCTAAAAGTGGTTAATTCGAGAAATAAATCTTTTATTTACACATTGACTATTAAAAAAAATGCAGCGTTTGTAATTTAACAAAATGGGACAATATTGGAAGAGGGAATACTTTTGCAAGGCTCTCTAAGTGATAGAATTTTTTTGGTGCTCAGTATGTACATTTTGATGAACTCGGCATTGATGACATAGTATACCTGAGTGATGTATTGGCCTTGTACTGTGAAGCTTTGTGTCTGGCAGGACTGGTATTCTCTGGGTTGATGCATGTCCGTAAATTAGATGTAGTTAGTATATGTGTAGTTTCTCTTTTTTTTTAAATGTAAGGGGCTACATTAAGTACTTACTGTGGTTTGTCTCCAAGCTACTGAGAGCAAAGTATTGACAGATAAAAGGGAAAGTGGTATCTTTGTAAATTTCCCATGTTGTATTGTGGAAGCTGAACACATACCGAGTGAGACAAGGTCATCGCTGACTGACCTGGAATCTGCAGTCTGGAGCTCAATTACTCAATCATATTTTCTGCTGTGGTACTGGATGTGGATAGTTGATGGACCTGAAGAGTACTCGTTGATTGTTTCTGTGATGTTCCCGTGTGGTTGCTATGGTGAGTTTGGTTTTGGAGTGTAGATCTCCTGTTGGTTTGAGAAAAGGTGTTCAGTCATGATTGACTAATACTGATCAGTTATTACATAAGAGTTACTACTTTAAGTCTTCAAACTAAGTCTTACATCAAACAGATCATATTCGATTTCCTCCCTTATTAGCATGTTCGTTGTAGCTTATTTTCAAAATCTGGATGTTTTTTTTAAGTTTGGATTCTCATTTTCAAAATGTCTGTTGTGAATATCTTCATTTTCCTAATTGGAACGTTTTATTCTTCATGGTAACTCCGGACGTTATTCACTGTGTGCTGTGATGTATGAAGGGAAAGTGGCTTCAGTGGCAAGGCTCTGCGGGGACAGACCTTCGTAACCAATACATCAAACTTGCTCTGAAGTCTGTGGTGATGTCTACCATCCCTACACTCCCACACCAGAGCTGCAGTAAATTTCCTGTAATAGCAGGACATACCACTGTTTGTAGTGGTCATTTCTTTCGTTTTGTTTTTTCTCTCAAACAACTGTTTAAAATACTTGGAAGTATTTGCTATAACATTTATTTTTTGGACTCTTGAAGTAAATCCGGTCCCCTACTGTACTGATGTCCCCACTCTCCTGGGCTCTGGTTCAGACTATATATAAATATTTGCACAACTGAATAATATGAAATCCTAAAATCATGTTGACTCTCTGCAAGGTATTGAAATAGACTTTAGTATGTTCATTACAACTGTAGGCTTTCCTAAATTAAGCTGCCACTCACCTCTGCTTTAGTCCAGAGTGATATTATTGCAGGAGTTCTTAACACTGTTGGACAGCGGTGGGTGTGGTCATGAAAAGTG